TAATATGCACGGATTTTACCAAAAACTAATCAAATCTGCGCATATGTTCAGAGCATCTATGTACCAAGTTTCATCAAAATCCAATGAGTGGTTCTTTAGATATCAGTGGAACAGTCATAGAACAGCTAAAAATTAGCTAATTATCATGCAAATTAGGTAATTAACGAGCATGGATTTTAACCAAAACCTAATCAAAACCTAGCATTAGTTCAGAGCATCTATGTACCAAGTTTCATCGAAATCCAATGAGTGGTTCTTTAGATATCAGTGGAACAGTCATAAAACAGCTAAAAATTAGCTAATTATCATGCAAATTAGGTAATTAACGAGCATGGATTTTTACCAAAACCTAATCAAATCTGCGCATTGGCCCAGAGCATCTATGCACCAAGTTTCATCAAAAACCGATGCACGGTTCTTGAGATAGCAGTGGAACAGTCGGACACACATACACACATACACACACACTCACTCACACACACACACACTCACTCACGCACACACACACACACACACACACACACACACACACATACAGACACACTAACTGCAAAGACTCCCATTTTGTGCTTCGCACATGGGAGTCAATTATGACCTCTATATTCATACTAGAAACTCGCACTACATTACCTGAACTCATTATGTACCCTACATTTCACTCTGTGAGTTCCAAGACCTAAATCTACATATCTCTGTCCACCAAAATACACATAGTACTGGTTCAAGGCATCATATAAACTCTCATATAAACTTTCCAAGTTTAATAATACAACAGTACGACCAGTTTCCATACAGACTTTGATTCGGTTGATGTTACGGCAAACCTAGAGAAATGAGAAATGAATTGTTAATGTACGAGTGCAAATGAGTCATGGATAGAGCATACAATTCAATGAACCATACTGGCATCAATGTGGATGATCAAACACAAGCAGAGCTCAACAGAGGATTCTGAAAGTCACATTTGGTGCTCAGACCCAGCCAGTGGTTTTGACCTCATCAATCAAGTCTGGCACACTCACTCAGGTAAGGCTCAATCTTACTGAAACTCAGCTTGAGAAAAACAAGTACCTGTGTATATTCTTGATCTTTGGGAAAGCTGCTACCAAAAATGATGACAGTGTCTTCCATGCTGAGTAACTGCTGTTGTAGAATACCAAGGGCTGCAAAATTCTCTGTTAATACCAACAGATAACGACTCTCACTAAAAGAAAAAATGAGAAACTTCGTAACTTTACATCATCACTCATTAATTTATATATATATTACATTCTGATTTGAGAATTTGTTCTCACTAGTCTGGTTGTTCACATTCTGAACCATGAACATTTGCATCAAAAACCTCAATATGAAATATAGCATTAGTCCAAGAATAAATAATAAGAGAAAATTGTCTACCAATGGTTTGACAAGGTACATCAGAGTTTAATGCTGTGAAAAAATATAAAAAGATTATTTATATTAGTTATGCATTGATAATTAAAATGTATGTTCATTCCCACCTTTCCATGTTCAATATGCCCCTGTCTAAGCCAACCAAACTGGCACGGATAAGCCCAGCTGGATCACAATCAGGATCATTTGGTCCCTGCAATGAAAATACATCTCAATGTTATCTGAATAACCTGTATAAAACACTCCCAAAGCCAACACAAGATATACAAGAGATGCATTGTAAAATTATAAGAACTTTGCACCATTCCCAGTTATTGACCTAATAATTCAAGAGCATAATATATAGTGTGTATCCACCCCATTTTGCTAAAGCAGTATCAATGGCAGTGTTTGAGTTGACGAGTGAATGTAAATAACACCAACACTAAGAACACCATGTATATAGGGTTAGGGATTGGTAAAAACATGTTTCACAGTATATGACAACCATACCCTTTCTTGTCTCTTATCAACATTGTGTAGCTGTTTATTAAACACTTTAACAGGATCTATATCATCCAGACCACCAAAGTTACGTCGTATGGCATGGACCAGTTGTCGCCAGGTTGGTGGATCACCAGATGCTTTAGAAAATCCGTACACCATTTTGACAAGACTGGAGACCAGATAAAAATAATGACAGTTACTACGGCAGTTCTACCGCCACAATTTAGTACACATACTTATAATTAATCAATTTTTTAAAAAATCATTTGACAGGAGCTGAGAGAGCAAAGAAACAACAAATATAATCAGTGAACCAATCATATAACACAAAACATATAATATCAGATATCAAGTTTGTCAGAGGCTCTTTCTCCAAATCTTGCAGATAGGTGAAATTACCTGTAAAAGTCTCGTAAACCAAAGAATTCTTTATTCTGGATCTTGTACAGTTTCAAATATCCTTTTGCCAAAGCAGGAATCATCGGTTGGATACGAGACAGCACAATTTCATCTGTTGAACATATACCTCTGTTCCAAGACAAGGAAACAACACATGATTAATAAATGATATATTATATCATTTCACCAACTAGGAGTTTCCGTAGTCATATGAAATTGCCATTATCATTTACATAAATGTAAATGAAACACTTTGTGAAACAGTGAATAATAGTAGTTTTAGTTATAAAATCTTACTCAGCACTGTCCTTGAGTTCATCTTCATCGGGTACTCCCCTTGATACCAGTATCCCACGGTTCATCTTAGCAGGATCCAACGCCCAGTTTGAAATGCCAATAAATGCAACTTTCTTGTGAGGTGGTGGATTATCTTCATCATCACACCCATATTCCAACAATGGATGCAACGTCTGAAGCAATGAATGCAATACATTCTCATTATTCCACTCCAATGAAATCGCCATCAATTTCTAAACATATCATTGTCAACAATTTTCACATTGCATTACATTATTGCTATACATTATCAGACAACAGAGTATTTTCAATGTCAGTCATAACTCTGAATTTGGTAACCACAGACTTTCTGATGTCGTGAGAGAAGTGATGTACAATACTATAACTTCAAAAATGAACAAGTCATTGTCAATGACACGTCCCCGTTCCGTTCATATTTGAGTGACATATACATTCAAAGCAGATCATGACCGAAATGCACCTGCATATGTACAACACATTGTACTAAATCTGAACAAAATCCATCCATGCATGACTGAGATCTGGTTCCGGAATTGTGAAAATACGTGATTTTAATGCATTTTCGGTCTTAAAATGGCCATCATTCAGCTATTGTTAAGCGGATCATGAAACAAATGCACATATCTATTTGTGACATGATGCCCCATGTGTGTGTGAAATTTGAACTTGATCAATCCAGACATGTCTTGGATACGGATCCAGAACTGAATTCTTTAAGAAAATGGCCGCCAGTCGGCCATTTCGAACTTGATCCGGAAAAAAAATGACGTGCATCAAGGTCCTATTATGTTTAATGTAAGTACCAAATTTGAACGAAATCCGTCCATGCATAACTGTGATCCGGGTTCGGAATGGTGAAAATGTGCGATTTCAATGCATTTTCGGCCTTAAAGCGGCCGCCATTTGGCTATCGTTAATGGGATCATGAAACAAATGCACATACATATTTGTGACATGATGTACCTTGTGTGTGTGAAGTTTGAACTTGATCAATCCAGACATGTCTCGGATACGGATCCAGAA